TAAAATAAAAATTTCTAAACACAATCATACCTATATACAATATATACATTCGCCCAAGAATCTCCGAGCCAGGCTTTTTCCCCCATACGTGGAAGGCGAAGCAAGACTCCGGAGATCCCAGCGCCACTTTTCCAGCCGCATCACTAGTATTAGAAGCCAATGGAGACTGAAAGAGGGCACTACAGCCACAGACGCTCAGGACATGAGTGGAGAAGCTGGCCATTGCCAGGACTCCAAAGGCATATTTACAAAAGATCTCGAGGCCACTGCCGTTTCAACCTTCGAGGGGGATGGTATGGATGTTCGGAGCTGGATAGGGATTGCGCTAGAGGATTGGGATGATGAATGAGGTTCTGGTGAAAGTTGGAGAATCTGGATGGGATGATGTCATGGACATATGGGATGTTAAGGTCATGGTGTAGGGTCTTGTTCGTGACATAATATGGAGCATTGACTATTGTTCGAAGGACTTTGGACTGGAAGGATTGGATGCGTTTGATATTCGATGATTTAGTTGTCCCCCACAGTTCAAGTCCGTAGGTCCAGATAGGTTTCAGTATGGTCTTGTAGATTAATAATTTGTTTTCTGTTGAGAGATGAGATGTTCTGTTTAGTAGTCTATATAGCTGACCAAATCGTCGGTTAAGCTCTTGTCTTTTAAGTCTGGTATGTGGGTTCCAAGTCAGTCTTTTGTCCAAAAGGAAGCCAAGGTATCGGACTGTGTCTGAGTAGGGAAGAGGAATTGAATTAAAAAGGATTGGTGGACAGGATCTGCGTCGAAGAGTGAAAGTTACATGCTTGCATTTTGATTCATTAATTTTGATGCGCCAGTTGTTGCACCACTGCTCAATGAAGGAAAGGTGTCTTTGCAGGTTCTGAGACGCTATTAGAGGATCCGAGTGAGAGGATAGGATGGCAGTATCATCAGCAAATGTTGCTAGGAAGGTATCAGGACTTGAAGGGATGTCAGCGGTGAAAAGGATGTAGAGAACTGGGCCCAAGACACTGCCTTGTGGAACACCAGCCTCAATTGGATAATGTTTGGAGAGTTCAGTGCCGCAGCGGACTTGAAAGGAGCGATTTGAAAGGTAGGATTTGAGGACTAGGTACAAGGGTTGAGGTAAATGGGTTTTGAGTTTGAAAAGCAAGCCATCGTGCCACACCCGGTCGAAAGCTTGAGCTACGTCCAGAAAGGCACCAGTGCAATATTGCTTGTTTTCAAGTGCAGAGGATATGTGGTCGACAACGCGAAGGCCTTGTTGGACAGTGGAGTGTCTTGAGCGGAATCCAAACTGATGGGGAGGGATATTGTGGGATTCGAGTATGGGTAGGATGCGTTTGAGAAGGATTTTCTCAAAGATTTTGGAAAGGATCGGAAGTAGGCTTATCGGTCTATAGGATGATGTATAATTAACAGGTTTACCTGGTTTAGGAAAGAGGATAATTATGGAGTGTTTCCACACCAGAGGAAAGAGGGCTGTGCGGAGGATACAGTTGAATAGGTATGTAAGGAATATAATTGCTTTTTTGGGAAGTTGTCTGAGGATCTGGGAAGTAAGGAGATCGTGTCCTGGAGATTTGCGAGGTTTTAGGTTCTTTAAAAGGAATTTGACCTCAGAGGGGTTGACGGCTGTAGGAGGTAAGGAGAGAGGAATCGGTGAAGAGAGGAACTCTTTAACTTCAGCAGTATGGGAGGGATGGAGTTCAGGATGAGGAGTGAATGTGTACGATAGATGTTTAGCAAACTCTTCTGCTCTATTCTCATCTGACGAAGCCCAGGAACCATCATCACGGCGGAGGGGGTGGGAAATGGATTGGAATTTAAGGATTTTTTTAGTTACATTCCAGATGGAGTTATCACTTGCAGATAGTGAGGAAAGATAGGAATTATAGGATTGGGATCTAAACGTGGCCAGTTTTTGTTTTACTTGCTTGGAATAATAGTTATATGATTTCCGATCATCAGGATGCCTGGTTCTTTGCCAGATAGCCCTAGAGCATCGTTTTCTATTAATAAGGTCCAGTAGGTCTTGGGGTAGAGGATTTGTTTTGCGGTATTTTTTAGAAGGATCAGGTGAAGATGCAGTCCAAACTGCTTGTTGGATCAACGTAGTCATGGAATGTACTGCTTCATCTAGGTCTGTAGGTGTTTTTAAGGAAACTCTGAGGTCAATATTATCATCCAGCATTTGACGGAAGAGGTTCCAATTAACTGGCCCCCTGATAAATGACGGTGGAGGTGGTTTGGGAATTGGTGATGTGGAAACCGTTAGGATTAGGGGACTATGGTCTGAGGAGAGATCATCAAGTCTTGAGATGCAATAATTAAGGGACCCTAGACCTTTGTGGATGAAAAAATCTAGGAGATCGGGATTGCGGTTAGGATCTGTTGGCCAGTATGTGGGAGAATTGGGTGAGAGGATGTTGCTGTGATGGGAATTAAGTGCAGCTAGCAATGTTCGTCCTCGGGAATTTGTGGTTCTGGCTCCCCATTGCTGGTGTTTAGCATTTAAATCTGCACCTAGAAGGAAGTGGTGTCCTAAGGAGTTAAGGAAGGAAGTTAATTGGGATTCTGAGATGGGTATTTTAGGCGGGGAGTATGCTGCGACTACTGTTATTGGGTAAAGGGAAGTTTGGATTATCACGGCAGTGGATTGTAGGAAATTATGGGTTGGCAAAGGGAATAGATGATGGGAAACGGATCTATGGATAATTATGGCAGTGCCACCATGTGCTGTTCCATCAGGATGGTCGGTTCGATAAATATTGTAGCCGGGAACGTTGATTTGTCGTTTGTTGGTTAGTCGAGTTTCAGTTATTAGTGCTATGTCGATGTTTTTGTCATGTAATAAGATTGTCAGTTCGTTGATGTGGTTCCGAATACCATTCGCATTCCAAAGGAGAATGGAGAGGAATTTGGTTGATGACATTTATGGATTTCTTGGCAGTGGAATGAGGTTGGATATAACATTGGTAAGTAGCGAAATAAGAGGGGTAATGAGAGATCTAAATTCGGAAAGGAAAGATGTCAGTAGGCTTGTGAGGTCAGTGGAATTGGAAGGAGGAGGAATGAATGTATGAGTATTTAACCTACGTTCGGGGATGGAGGGATATGGGTCTTGAGGTTGATGTGTGAATTCTTGAGGTTTAGGTTCTTGTGGCAGGGCCTGAGATTGAGAGTTTACAGTGTCTCCTTTGAACATCTGAGCATAGGACACTCTTCCGTTCACTATTCTAGAGGGTTGTCTTGGTGGCCTGGATGTCCCTTCTTCTCTAGGCGTTGCGTACATTCGTGTTTTTAAATTTTTGTATGTTTGACAACCCTTGTAGTTGGCTGGGTGTCCTTGGTGGCATAAAGCGCATACTGCAGGTGAAGTTCTTGACTTCCTACAGTCCTCTGTTTTGTGTTGCTCACCACACCTCACACATCTAGGAATGTGATGACAATACCGTTTCGTATGGCCATAAGCCTGGCAGTTATGGTATTGAACGATGTCGCGCTTGCTGTAGGGCTTTTCTACAACAACGCTTGTATAATAAAGGCGTGTGACCTTGTAGATGCTTTCGACATCGGGTGTTCGGTCAAGGTCAACGAAGAATAGTGGAAGAGGTATTTTATTTTTTATTCCAGGCTGTTCTTTATCCTCCTTGAATATGTTCACTATCTGTCGAACATGGAATCCCATACCCATGAGCTCTTCTTTTATAGCATCTGTTGGCGTAGATGGGTGCAGTCTTCTGATAACGACCCTGAGCGCCCTCTCTTGACGCAGTTGATACGTGTGGTAATCAGCCTTGGTGTCAGATAAATATTTTATCATTTTTCTGTAAGTTTCTGGAGTGTCGGGCATTAATTTAGTGTCATTGGTGCGGCTTTGGCATAAATATTTTCCTGAACCTACTAGATTATTCAATTGATGACACATCAATTGAAAGTTTTTAATATTTCTAACAAATATTGGTGGGGGTTTAGGTTCTCTGGGGGTTGATGCTGCTTCCATTTGTTCGTTATTTATATTTGAAAGCACTTCAAATGGATTCGAAGTGAAAAACGGCGATTCTTCGCCCATAGCTTGAGTTGTCTCACAATTGTTAGGTTGTTGTGAGGAGCCAGGTTGGGGTTCAACTTCTTCTATGGAGCTCCCTGGTGTGGCTGGTGGAGTGTTTCTTTTTGAATGCCTTGTCTTTTTTTTTATGGGAGAACTAATTGTAGTATCGAGGCTCCTGGACCTAGTGTTTTTGCCCTTACTCGACATTAGCATGTGATAATATCGCATTTCATATTAATTTTTTAAAAGAAAAATTGATAAAAGTGAGGCGATGAAAAAAATAAATTTTTATTGAAGACGAAAATATAGACGCGCGCTTGGAGAACGCAGGTCTGCTTCCGACGAAGGGCTCCAGCCCACTAGTCAGATTAACGATGTGTATTATGGCTGGCCGTTATCTAACTAACCTAAGGTCTATTTACACTGTTCACTCTTGTGTTGTAAATAAGTGATTACTCACCTTATTTTTTTGTCCAGTATCAAACGTAATTGTTAATGTAACTGATAACACTAATTGTTCACATTAAGCTTGTATACTGCCACTGATAATTGAAATTTTTTAAGAGACGACCTGACGTATGTTTAACTAGGGCTAACGCATGCGCAGAACTGTCTTTTAAAAAAATGGGAGTGTAGGTCACTCCAAACGGCTCAATTAAAGGCCGCACTTTTTCTCGATTTTTTGATCAAATTATCTTAGGATTCAAGTGGAAAGCAAATGTGTATTTACGAGTTTTTAGTACCTAATCAATTAGACAAAGGTTGCCCTTCTCCAGATTGAAAATGTCCCAATTCTAAGAGTTTTCGTAAATAAAATAGTTGTAGGTTACGATGAGATGAAACTATTTACGAAGTTTCGGGCGGATATTAATAATTCGATAAAAAGAGTTCTGTACCACAGACTATAATATTATTTCAATATGAATAATATTATAAAATAAATATTTATACCTTATGTCATCACCAGTAACGGTTTGTACTGGCATGTCAGGAACATGGAATGGTTCATATTTCTTTAAAAGTGCTCTGATAAATTCCAAAGCTCTTCTCCATAAGTCATCAATTGGGTTTCCTAGGTTGTCTTGAATTAACCTTTTTTCTGAAAGTTTTTAATAAATTAATTTAAAATTCTTTATTTCTCAACGTTATTATATAATGATTAACAGTAGAAGATGTTAGTGTGAATTCTTTTCTAGATATCTAAAAGATAAAAAAAGAATGAACATTCTCAATGCTGAGCAGAAAAAATATTTTTTCCATCTTGTTGAATATTCCAAAATTCGGTCGAATTTCTTTAAAAATGCCAACTATATCTTTGATTTGACCAAGTCAAAAAGTCAGTTTTGCTATTCATGATTTCCTGAAAAAAAATCATTCCTAAAATTTATCTTACCTATAATTAATTTGGCATATAACAAACCATCTGGACTCTCACAATACAATTAAAGTTTAAGATGATTTAGTAGGAGTTGGTTGAGAAGCAGTCAAATTCTGATATACATAAAATAATTTTGTTATATTTGTGACTACGTTTCGGCCTAAGTTTTAGGTTTTCATTAAGGCTAAATAACTAGAGAGAAGTATAATAAAAATGCTAAACGATAGAATACTGATCGTATAATAGAGATATTCGTGATTTCGTAAATGTTTAATAACCTAAATAAATCATACTAAGCAGTAAGCACAAATTTTAAATAAATGGAAAATAACCTCTCTGTGCTAACCTGCTAAAGTGTTATTTGTTACAGTAAGGTTATGCCTGTATCGTAAACAAAATTTGTTAGTTTTTAATTGATTTACTGAGGTTTTATTTTTAAAATACCAAAGCGAAGTGAAAAGACTAAGTTCCTGGATTATTTGGTTAAAAATGCTTTATTAGAATGCATGAATGGAGATTAATATGATTCAGAAGGCAAAGAATTTGATGAATACATGGATGAAATCCTAGCTGTCTTTACACTCCATTTCTGTGCACATCAAAACCTTACGATAACTTTTTCCGTGCGTTTATCAAGTTAGCAAAGCTTTACAGGACCCTATGCTGAGTTAAAATCGAGGGAGCTAGCGGCCATATTTAATACAATTTCGGTAAATAATTTTCTCGATTTTACACATTTAAGAGTTTAAAAATACTTAGCACTGGTTGGCTGAATACCTCTAGTGAAAACAACACAAAAAGGATTAAGTTTTACGGATTCATTATCCTTGATACCCACATGTTACGATTTTGAATTATAGCCCACAAGGGTGCCCATCCCCCAATTCCCCAAGATCGATGGTGCATGACCTCCTCCCCTTTCTCTTAAAATAATTTATTGCTCTTCTCTTCTTAACAACAGTACAAGCTAAAGTAAAATTTAAAAATCATACCTCATATACAATTATACATTCAGTGGCCTGCACTATGATTGTCTCTTGTCCCCTGGTTTGAATCTTTTCAATTCGAAAATTCATAATAGCTTCGAAATGTGCCCCCTCAAAAATTTTGAAGCCGTAACTTGAAACCAACTTATGTGCACAACTGATAACCCATTACAGAGAGGATGAAATGCTGAAAAATTCCCTCGCTTACAATATACAGGCTCGATTTTTAGTTTCTGAGTTATTTTAATCCATTTCTTATTTATTTTCGACACAATTTTTCCCTTTTCATCTCTCTAACACAGTGTCGCGTTCAGATAAAATTTTGAATACTGGCTTATTAGAAAGAGGATGAAATGATGAACATTTCGTTTTCTAACAATATGCAGAATTTTAGTTTCTGAGATATTTTAATCCATGTGAAAAAACAATTAGTCGATCCATAGGAACATCCATTCGGAATTTCAAGAAAAAAAGTTATGAATGAAAAGAAAATATATTTGCAAATTACTTAAAAAGCCTAATTTCCTAATCTCTGATTTTTGTGTAGTAAAGAATGGCTCTGAAAGTGTTTAAGATTAAGTAACTTCCTTTTAAAGCCCTTAAATGTATAGTTTTTTTAGTTTAAGTTTGAGCCCAACCTTATACCTGCTATAGAAAATCTTGATGCCTCTGTTGTCATAGATTCTGATTCTTATGAAAAAATACAATTTCCAGCTCTCTGTAGTTACAAATCGAGTTGCAAAGTGCAGTTGAAAAGAACAAAAGAGATCAGCCTAGCAAAATTACGAATCGGATACTCAAGGCTAAAACATGAAAACCTATTGACTAAGGGGACATCCCTTGAGTTTCTTTCCTGCGTGGTAAATATCTGAGTGATGCACATCTAGACAAAGGATTGTGCCGAAGTGGATTTGGGAAATAATATTCCTGAAATTTTAAAAACAACACGAAGATGGCATCAAATGGTTTTATTTATTAAAAAAACACAACTACATAACAATTTCATAAATAAATACACTATATACTGTATATTTTTTCTTAATTGTGTTTTATTTCGCCATATCTTCGTTAGTTCCAATTGTTGGACTATCGTTTTAAAGATTGTCTAAATACAACCTCCAACATCTCAGAGAAAAATACAATCTTAATTTAGCAATAACAAGAAAAGTATGCAATTTATGGTGGATTAACTACATCAATAATTAAAAGGCTACAAAATTTCCTACAAAATAAAAAAAAAAAATTTCGAAATCGGATCATCATATGCAAAGATATAGACTACAGTAAATTGTACAAATGCTATGTTTTTTTTTTGTGAATTAATTATTTTAATTCGACCAAAGAAAGGGAAATGAATTCTTCCAACTCATAATACAATGCATTAACATATTTCCATCAGTTGTTTTCTGACTAATATTTTATGCGAATTATTCGTATGGGCCAGCTAGTAAATAAATAATTTAGTTATCAAAATATAAATTAAAAAAAAAACATTCCTCACCATTTGAGACATGTCTGATTCCCAAAGAAGCGGAAAATATAGCACTGCAGAACAACAGAAATAAAAGAGATTTCATCATGGCAGGCTTCAATAGTCTGAAACGAATGAAATAATTTTTTTTTGAGATGTATAAATACTAATCGTAGATTTTTATTTACTTTTTAAAAAATTGATAACGCATGTTTAGTCAAGTATTTTTTTTTTTTTTGATAAGAAGAATTTTCAATGCACGGATTATATCTGTTTGTATATTGATACGAATTTTTCAAAATGATATCTCAGAATAGTGAAATGTATATATTAGTTTTTTGCACATCCTCTTTTTATCAATGAAGGAGGTACATTTATATTTTCATTGGTTAGAATCAAGTGAGCCCGATACCATGATTTGACGGAGTTTTCAATGAAAAATAATCCATCAAAAATTTAAAGAACATTTTGACATACACTGTTGCCTAAAAATATTAAATATTTAAAAAAAAATAATTCAGAATTCACAAGAGTTTAAGTGATACTCGTTACAGGTGCATTTATATATATATATATATATATATATATATATATATATATATATATATATATATATATATATTTTTTTTTTTTTTTTTTTTTTTTTCATAGAAATGTGCATTTACTCTGCAAAAGCATATTATATGCATTACATTGTTATTTAAACATTTTTTTAATATTGAAAAAAATAGCTTATTACAAGATGTGTTGGCCCAAGGTACTCAAAAGGAATGGTACTTAAAATATATTACAAGAGAAAACTAAATAATGGATGATTAAATAAAATAAATAATAGTATGAAATGAGTGAACTGTAAAAAAAATGTACTAAAAAAGAGAAAATATAATAACTAAATAAATGAATAAAAAAATAAATGATTAGGAAAAAAAAAATAGAAAAATTATGTGGATTTTATAAAAATTGTTATCCTCAAAAGTATATTAAATAGCAGTTCTATACCCGAATGTTACGTTGTAATTCTATGCTAACAATGCATTATTTCAACTGCTTTGTTGCTACTTTTTGTATAGTAGGGATGCGAAAACAGACCATGTGTCCCCTTGCGTTAAAGAGGATTTCAGGAAGGTAGTATGAAAGGTTGTGGAGTAAGTCCGTCGCAATCATATGCATCTGTCGCTTTTAAGTGGAATCTGTTTAGATATTGGTTAGTTGGGCCCTTGTTTAGTAAGGAATAAATAAATAAATAAATATATAGATATATAGGTTTATCACAAAAAAAAAACATTTTAGTAAAAAAAATTGAGAATGGTTAAAACAAGCATGTTGCCTGAAAAGATTAAATATTATTATGAAAGTAAATAAAAAAAAAATATTAAAAACAAAATAATTCAGAATTCAGAAGAGTTTAGGTGTTACTCGTTACAGGTCCATTTATATATATATATATATATATATATATATATATATATATATATATATATATATATATATAGGTTTATTACAAAAAACACATTATTAGTTAGGTAAAAAAAAAAAAAATTGAGAATGTTAAAAATATTAGGGTCGTTATAATTTGTTCGTATTGTTTATGGGTTGGTAAAACGTTTAAAAACCAATATTTCCAATAAATCACACCACCGCGTGGTGCACCGAGAGTGCCACATTTTGAAAAAAAAATGTACTTTTTCCCTTTTTTTTCCAAATATCATTTAAAGTATCAGTCTGACAAAAATATATTTTATTTTTATATAATTTGGGCCAATTATCACCAAACATTTTATTGATAAGCTATTTAATTCGACCATACTAAGGGTCATTTTCAAGTCTCGGTGAGTCCTCCGTTATATATTCATCATTAATGTCGCAAATAATATGTTCAGTGAACATTCAATTGTCATGGTATATAGGGGTTTCACCTACGTCATTTCTGGAGGGAATCAGCCCCTCTTTTCTTTTAACTGAAATACATTCCGAGGTAGAACCACTTAAACCATAAGTTATTTAACTAAAGTTTAAATTGATTTTTGCGTTATTGATCAGTAGCTACTATATTATCAATACTTATTGACAATAATAACTTATATACATATTTGTAATATATAGTAAAGGTACAATATTCTTTTCTTTGTCGTAACGGTCGCTGTGTATGTGTGTGTATGAATAGACTAGCTCAAAAGCAAAAAGTACGATACTAAAATTAAGTATTTAAGGGAACTAAGTATTTTGTTCGGATGTTTGTCCTCTATTTAACCGACTTTATATCATTTTACTATTTTCTTGAAAGCCGCTTGATCGATTTTGATTAAACTTGGTCTTCTATTGCCCCTCCCCCCCATCAGTCTCAACGGGCTTCCAATACCAGCGACGCTGCTGGAAGAGAAGCACTGGGATCTCCTGAAGTCCTGCTATGGCTTCCACAGTTGGTGGACAAAGCTTGATTCAGAGTTCCCTGGGCCAAAGTAAATATTGTACACAGGTGTGAATGTGTTTTATTTATCTTGTATACTACTTTATCTCTTTTTTTATATTTATTTTTCTTTCTTATGTACATATTATGTGAATGAATAGTATAGCTCTAGAACCAATGCCCTTCAGTGTGGCAGACTATATTAATACTCAATAAAAACATTAAAAAATAAATACATTAAAATTACATAAATAAGTATAACAAAACACAAATATATAGAAATAAAAAAGTCCTATCATTGCCCAAGGGCATTTTAAGAGTTGGAATTAAACCTGCTCTACGATAAAATGCTCTTTTATATCAGCTAGTATTTCAGCTCGTATCCTGATAATGGGAAAAGATAAAAAACTAATGACTAATTGTTGTAGCCATTAATGGGTAATGGAAAATAGATGTTTTCATGGAAGAAAGATGGGATTTCTGTAGAAGCTTTTAAAATTATATTTTAAACTTGACAGAAAAATATATTTAATGCACCGAATCAAGCTATTGCAAATGTTTAAAATACTATTTTAAGAAGATGTGAAACTAGTGAAAATTTTTTAAACATCGTTTACGGATTAGTATACCATGGATGGGGTACCGTTGGATTCAGAATTTCAGGGGGGAGGGTTAGCGAATCGTATTTTCCGCTTTTGTTTTTCTTTCTAAAATAAATAAAGTCGATACAAACATTTTGCTAGACTTCAATACTGCAACGGTGGTAGGTTTGTAGATCGATGTGGGACAAATAGGATCTTGAAGATTTTGATGCGTACAGCAAGACCCGGAAAGTACCTTCGGAACTATCGAGTCCTGCGTGTTTAGGCCCAAAAAATGTACTACTTTCGAGATAATGTAAGGCATAGGGTTCGCATCCACACAACTTACATTAATTGTAGTACTGTCATTGAATACATGTATCATTTCGTCGACTTGAGGCCTCTATGATCGAGAGAGTAGGAGTTTGTATTATTTATCGATGGTGTTTTTGATCGGTAAGCTCAAAAATTTTTCGTCGTTAATTCTTCACCAAATCTTAAGATTGAGACACCAATTTTAAGTCTTCCTTCTCCTTCAGGAGGACAAAATAGTCGAATCACCCCCAAAAATCAGACAAAAGTTATGAAAGAAAACAAACCTTGTTTGCGAATAACTAAAAAATTACACACTTTTCTCTTGGTTATGCCCACGATTATAAAAAAAAATAATAAATTTCATACAAAAGAAAAAAAAAATCATTGATATCGGACAATTTTGAGGAAAGATACAGCTTATTGAACTTTGTAAACTTGTTGGTTCCAAACATTAATAAAGTTTTTAATTAATTTTTATTTCCTTTGTTGATTATATTTAATTCGATAAAGTAGCGATTGATTTCTTTATCTTTTGATACGTTGCATTATTTTATTTTCTTATTAATTTGGCATTTGATCTCTTAACAATATGTTGCGCAAATTTTTCTCAGGGGCCTACTAGTTTTTATAAATTTAAATAAGTCTAAGATCTTTTATAGACGTGATTTATTCAATTAAAGTAAAAGAATTTAATTACACGTTATTACAACACAAGTTAATTATAACACTAATCCAATATAACAATACAAGAAGGTATTTTCTAATAAATAATCATTAACATCTGATTTAAAGATAAGTAACAGTTGAAGTGTTTAAAGATTGCTCAAGTAACGTTGCATAAGTTTACTGTAAGTTCAGGATTTTTTTACCAATGACAGTCTCTATTTTGTTTTAAAACTTTATTTGTAGAGAAGCTTTCGGTGTCCTTGTACCATATTCATCTCTATAATTATAATGCTCCAATTAGGATAAATTAATAATTAATTAATAACATTGGCAATATACGTATTACATAATTTTTGAAATGCCATGCAATTATTATCAGATCATGCCATACCTTTTATTATTTTTGTCTATTTAAAAACATAAATGATAAGAACAGTATTCTTGTTCTTCCTCTCATGTCAACTTTCTACGAAAATAGGACTCCTCTTTGTCGAACACCATCTTACTGAGTGCTGAGGATTTACTGTCAGCGCCCTCTATATTATCCCAACTATTTGGTAACTAAAGTTACCCTACCTTATTTAATTTATTATTATTTGAATTTTTATTGATGACTATTATTTGTGAATAGTTTTGTGGAATGTGGGCACTGTATTGAATTTAATACAATTTTTTTTCATTTATTGCTATATATATGGATTCTAAAATTTTTAGCTTTGATCGGTAGTTTGATTTATGAAATATTTTAATATTTGCGAAATCTATTTCATGTCAATGGTTTTTTGCATGGTTTGATAAAGCGGTAACTGTTTTTGAATTACGTTTAAGGGTACTTCTGTGGTTATATATTCTGGTTTTTATATCAGTCGGTGTCATTCCTATATGTGATTTGAAGTAATTTTTACAGAAGATATGATAAATTAAATTTCTATTGTTTTGAATCCTTTGTCTTTGTCAGTATATTTCGTATGAGGTATCTGGGTTTGAGAGCAAATTTGAAATCGTCTATGTCTAATCTTTTTGATGTACATTAAGTTTACAGTTGTATTTCTTTAGACCTAGTAATCGATTAAGGTAATTAATTAACCATCGTTGATTTATTACAAAAAGTCATTGAGTAATGTTTTATATAATTTGAATTGTTATTGTTTTTTTTATTATTAAACTGTTCGTTTATTGAGAAATAATAAAATATATCTCAATTAAGGACAATTATAATTGAGATCAAAGAGAACATTGAAACCATATTTACAGAAAATATTAATATATAAATTAAGTTATAGCAACATAATAGATAAAAATAAGAACAGAATTAAATATCATATAGAAAAATTAACTTCAAAAGATAAAATGAACATCTAAAACACAATCATAATTTTTTATAATAAAATATCAGTAGATGTCAAAAGATTAACTGAAGTACTGATTGAATTCCCAATAATGATGCAATTTGGGTATAATACAAGGTGCTCGCCACTCAGAATAGTATTTGCCCATCTCTAAC